TTGGCGAAGATGGTAATTAAAACGTGCTCTTTCATGTTAAACGGACCTGGATTCAGAGAAAACATCTTGGGTCCGAGACCCGGGATTGAAATCTGGTACTGTGTTTTGGGCAGCACGGCGGCCATGAACCGGCCGATGGGGAGCGTGGCTACTTGCACTGTGATTTGGGTTATGACGAGGGGTTCCGTTCGGTAGTAGAAGAACTGGTTGAGGAAGGAGAGGAGGGCGCAGGAGAGTAGACCCAGGAACCACATCCGGAAAGTCCATACAGGTTGGTTCGGGTCGTCGGTGTTGGATACGGTCAGTCGGACTTGCTCGATGGGTGAGACATCGTCGTCGCCGTTAACGAGGCGTTTTTCTGGGTCTAAGCTTCCGGCTGTCGGAGTTTGTATTTCTGGGGAGGCCATTATGGTGGAGTGAAGTTCCATGGCATAGGGAAGAGAGAGCCAGTTGGATTTAGTCGGGGCGCCTTCTAGGCCCTTTTATTGCATGAGACGTACATATTGTTACTATTTTGATCCCTACCATCACCGTTCATTATTTTATAGAAAATAATTTTGGAATAATTTTGGAATAATTTTTTTATAATTTTATATATCATTTTATTTATTTAAAATTTATAATAATAAATATGTTTACTTATTTAATAATATATAAAAATTATATTAAGAAAAAGATACAAAACTGTTAATTCTATTTCACCATCCTTGTTTTATAAGTTTGGACTATAAAATCGCTCTCTCCTTTGTTTTTTTTCTTTTCTTTCTTGTGGCACATGGAATTTATTAGTCGTAATTATAAAACAAAAATATTAGAAGTTACAATTTCTTTTATGTGTGATATATAGATATATGGTTTTTATTGCATTTTTGTTTATTTTTAATAAATTTATTTTTTTAACATAAATTTTAAATAAAAATTTAACAATTTAAATTAAATTAAAATTACTAAAAATGAATAAAGAGTATATAACATGACAATTTCTAATTAACCCTTTATGTTTGAAATTTTATACATAAATAAATATGCATTTACTTATATATATATATATATATATATCGTGCAAATGGCCGGTGAATTTTCTTCGGATTTCGTTTGGGTTTGTATTTGTGTTGTACAATTGTATTTACTCTTGTTCTGCATACAAAACAAGGAATGCGAATTTTCACATTGATCGGTAAAAATGGGTATAAAAATACTTGTGAAAAGATTTAAACATTATTTTAAAAAAATATGTATGAGTGATTTATTAAA